ATTTTATACTTAGGTTGACACCTTATATTAATATTAAAAGACAAGTGAATTATACTTTCTATCAAGATTTATACATTCGATCGCAATTAGTTGAGTTCTAAGACGCTGTAAAGATTTTAGTGAAGATTATGTTTTAAGAATATGTTTAATTCTGCCGTGAAAGATGCTGGCAAAGGTTATCTATCTCATGTAGAATCTTAATTTCTAAGAAACTGCTTTTTATTATTATTTCAACTTGTAACTCGAGAAGTCAAACGTTTGAGCGAGAACTGCTAAAGGTTCTTAAACACACAGATGAGATAGTAGACCTGTCCAAATTAAGGAGTAAATCACACAATGAAAAACATTTACCATCGGCAACAAGAATGACGAATTTGGTGCCTTATTGTTTATTTTTAATATATTTTAGAATACTTTCACATATTAAATGTTATAATTTAATTTACAGACTCTTACATAATAAAGTAAAATGATTCTGCAATCCAAGTGGTATTTCTTAATCAATAAGATAAAAAACAAATTTTAAACCAAAAAATGTCCACTCATTTTCATTTACCTTAGAATAGCGATAATAAAAGTATAAGCTAAATTTTCATTCACATAGGAATGAAAACATTAGCTGTTGAGTGATTTAAAAAATATTTCTAATGAGAAATACATCAAAATGCACGTTGTGACTTATAAATACCTACCTATTTATTAGGAAATTATATATTACTAATACTACTACTACTATTATTATTATTTGAAAATATTAACTACATACATTTGAGCGATAGCAAAACGAACTCAGGTTTTTATAAAATACCAAAGCTATGATGGTAATTTATGAAAACATATATTAACTGAATTGTTTATAACCAAATTTAAAGATCATAATTTTCAAAAATTAATTCCCATTAAAAGCAATTTATTTTCAAAATTAGGTTATTCAAATATTCAGCTTTAAAATTTAAACAGTTATTGAAGTTTCACATAAGTTGTCCTGAGGCTATATAAGAGTTAATTAAATTTACGTTAATAGATGATTTAATAACTGTTGGACATTTATGCTACTTTTAAGTTAAAGTACCTATTTATTTTTTATCTCTCGTATCGCAAATCTACGTTAACCTGCATATAACATACAGCTCAAGCCGTCAGCGCCGAGGTGTTAAAGCCTCAAAACCTCAGCTTGATCAGCGAGTAGAGGTGATATCCAGTGCGATGTCAATGGAGGACCAAGTCAAAATTTCTGATAAAACTATTCAGCTACTGACTAACGGAAATCGTGAAATTTCTCCAGATGTTGACGAGAAGAAAATCGCATCCAAGTTGAAAATTTTTCTCGACACAGATTATGGCAGAATGTGGCACATTGTCGTTGTGGCAGGTTCCTTTTGGATGAATTATAGTCACGACGAAAAATATTCATTCCATTTCAAAGTCGGAAAATATATTTTTCTAATTTGGCGCACACCTAATGTCTAGAACCGACGAATCAAGGCCATGAGAACACTCCTTTTAGAATAGGGAATCAAATTTTCTATTGTTAAACTCGTTTCGTACACAGTGAATCCTTTGTGATTTATATTCTTGCTTTTATAAATGGAACAGTTTCACTATAAAAAATACAGTTTTCCACATATCACTACGAATTTTGGGAAATATATACTCATTCGAACCCTTTAGAAACGAATTAAAGATATAGTATAAAAGGCTTACTTTATGTAAAAATATTTTATCGAAATATTGTATAATACAATTATGACTCTTATATATTTAAAGGTTTCTAAATAACCAAACTTAAGCAGTTAGTTGGTAGCTTTTTAATTATAAAACCTCAGTAAATATCAATAAAATCTATTACATAATTTTATAAAAATCAGCTCACAACTAATGACTCAACGATAAATAAAAAATATATGATAAGTCAACTAAAGAAAACTTGCTTGCCTAAGTGGCCAATAGTAACCACATTTAGCTATACTGTAAAGAGGCGAGGCCATACAAGCGGCAGCCCAAAACTGTGGTTATAATTAATATTTTAACATGATAAGTGACTAAAAAATAAGGTGTATGACGTGGATACCTTAGGTTATATATATTTCATTGTGTAACGGAATAATATACTTGATATGCACTAGATATACTATAAATTACTGTATATAGCATATAACTACGGATGTAATTGATAAAATACATTTTATCCGTTATGAAGTGAGGAATAATATTTAATAATATAAAGATCTTCAGTATACACACACAATAATACATAGATTTGGTTTTCAAGATACTTATAACAGTTCATGAATCACATTTCATTAGATATCTTGGCATACAGCTAATATAATGTAGTCTTATTAAGTTTAACCTTTGTCATTAAATATATTTCCTTCATTCTATTTAATAGGAAGAAAATTATTGTTAGGTATACGTGTGAATTTAAATGATATGGAAAGGGTAATGTTTATTAGGTGATATTTGCTTTATTAGATAATGCGTCCATAAAGGGTATTATAAAAGATGCTGAAATTTTAGTTGGCTTCTGGATTTACTTATGTATGTGTGTATTTATAATTTAAAGAAATACGAAAATAAAGATAGATAAAATAAAGAAAAATAGGAGGTGAATATTGTTTTCTTGTATAGCTATTTGACATCATATTTAGGCAAATTAATTTATTGTGGAGGCTTTAAAAAATGTACCTAATTGTGCGTGCTCTATAATCATTTTAAGCATTGAGTAATTCACTATTATATTCTCAAATCTTTGGACAGCCGTGTAATCTGCTTCACCTTTTCCCTCTAAGGCGTTATAATTCGGTGCCAAGGATGATGCATATTACTGATACTTCTGGCGGGTTTTGGCTAAACATTTATAAATATAGCTATTAGGTGCTTCAATTCTGTAAAAATGAACCTCGATGATGCTAGAGAACTCAGATTAAAGTAGTTTCTTTGATCTCGCCTTGAGAACACTAGAAAATTAGGAAAACAATGAGGACTTAAACTTAAAAATAAATTGAGATTTTTCTAATGTAACCATTATAGATTCAAAAGTTTTAAATTATATTCGTTCAATATATGAACAATGGTCTTTACTATTAGAAAGGTAATATGAAAACCTACTTTTAGCAGTCATTAATATCTTATACTTTTAAATTCGATCGCTTGAAAGGACCGAACTTTCTTAATTTTAACTTCTCAATGCAGACAAATTTGTGTGTACCTCAGTTAAAAGCTTAAATCTTAAACAAATACATTCCAAAAGATTATGTTTATACTTACTCTAAACTTAACAATACATAACGAAACTAGTTAAATTACACATAAGAAGTCATTATCTGAGTAGTATCCAAAAGTAACACGAGATCTGCACTTTATTAGGTGATAAAGGATGAAGTTTACTGAACTGACTCATGATAACAATATTATCTATTCTCATGTTATAAAGTAATACAATATTCCGTTTAAATAAACGTCAAAATATAATTCTGACAAATTAATTACATCACCTAGTGAAAGAATCCGTCTGGTCTCTTTTGATCAGCAATAAGCATATAAGGAGGATAAAGCTGGCTCACTTGTTTATCCTTTTCATTTATTAGTAATAAAAAATGCGAGCATTTAGAGTGAATGAAGCTCTAAGAAAAAATGATAAATTTTAAAGAGTCTAAATTTAAGCCACAAAATTAAACCTTACTTTCTCATGCTTCTGATTTTCAAAAGTTACGAAAGTTTGTATTTTATGAAGGACAGAAGAGCTTAATAACATTACATCAATACATGGATAAGCGAATTGATTCAAAGAGCAAGCAAGACCTATAGAATATGGAAAGCATGCATCACGCAGCTTTAGAACTGGCTTAGTCCTAAGCATATTATTT